TCAGTTGATTGTTGTGTGCAAGCAGTGACCTGTCAGTGCATGATAAGATTGCACGTGTTGCTATGTCACCAATGCAAGCGAAGCTGTATCGAAATGGAAGGTGACAAGAACTCGAACGAGACGTGTATATCACAAATAGACGTGATTACAAAATTTACGGCAGTTTGGTCGATAAGATGTCATTATGAGAAACGCCACATCTCTCGCGGAAGCCATATCGAAAGAACAGACTCCCTTTTTTATACAGGAAATGGCACAGAATAAGAATTGAACTTCTCTTCAGACAAAATTCCTTTGTCTCGACACAAATGATTATTTGGACAACTCTCTCTCTCTCTCTCTCTCTCTCTCTCTCTCTCTCTCTCTCTCTCTCTCTCTCTCTCTCTCTCTCTCTCTCTCTCTCTCTCTCTCTTTCTCTCCGAAGCACTGTCACGAGCCAAGGAAAGTGGGGTGAGGCAGCGCCGCGCTCGATGAGACGAAACTGTGGATGCCTTCGTCTGGAGAGTGAGAGAGAAAGTGAGAGGTGGGGGGGATAGGAGAGAAACAGAGAGGAGAGAGTGAGAAAGAAAGAGTGAGGAAGAGAGTGAGAAATACATAGAGAGAGAATGAAAGAGACAATTATGGAGACAGAGAGAGAGAAAGAAACAGACCAAGAGAAGGACAGACAGAAAAAGAGACAGACTGACTAACAGACAGCCATGGACACACACACACACACACACACACACACACACACACAACCATAGAGACAAAAGAAGGAGAGAGAAGAGAAAATATTAAAAAGTGTTGTAGGTTTATATGCAAGAGGGACATAAGAATGATCTAGATGCTAGCAACTAAATATGGCTCGAAAAGATAACCTTCAAGGAGTCGAATTAAAAAGAAATCACTAAAAATAATCGGGTAAATATATTCAAAGTTCAATTAAAAGAAATGTGTATATGTGTGTGTATGTGTGCGTGTGTGTGTGTGTGTGTGTGTGTGTGTGTGTGTGTGTGTGTGTGTGTGTGTGTGTGTGTGTGTGTGTGTGTGTGTGTGTGTGTGTGTACACTTTAAAGAATTCTAAACCTTTCTCACTGAAAGTAATCGGGTACAAATGTTCAAAATGCAAGTGAAAAAATCAGGAATTCTTTAAGGAATTCTAAACCATTCTCAAGTGTTCGAATTTCAAGGGAAAAAGCAAATTATACTTTTTTTTTATCTTATCATTTTTATCCTATCATTATCTTTGAATGATCTTTTATCTTATTATCTTCTTATGACTTTTTCTATTTTATGATCTTTTTAAATTACTATTATCTTATTATATCTTATCTTATTATGATCTTTTATCATATTATTCTCTTTTTATGATCCTTTATCTTATTATTATCTTATTATGATCTTTCATTTTATCATCTTATTATTATGAACGTTAACTCTATAGTCATCTTATTGTGATCTCTTAACTTTTTTTTTTTTTTTATTGTTTCATCTCATTTTTTTCTTCTTTATTTTTTTCATGTGGTCGTCATTGTTATTTTTTTACCTTATTATTATCTAACCGTCTTTATCATTTCATTTTATTATCTTATTATTACAGTCTATCATAGTTTTATCTTTTTTTATCCTTTCATTTTATCAGATCATACTATATATTATATTTTATATTTTGCATGCATATGTGTTCATATGCATGTGAGCCTCTTTTTTGTGTATTTCCTCCAAGATCAGATAATCTTAGATAGAATCTCTCTTAACAGTTAACAGTGAAGGAAATGTTGTTTTTCTGATGCATCATTTATTGGTTAACAGAGCTTGTTGTTTTTCGTTCCCCAGTCCTCTAACAGCGCCGGGATTGAAGGATTCGCGTACAACTGAATGAGTCACATTCCATTTAACAATAACAACAATAAGTCAAATCAAGCCAAAGGATTCTGTAGCTAAGGGGCTTTCTGTGAAGATGGAGCATGATGTCATTCTGATATCACGTTTACGAGTCCTTAGGGTCGCCGTCGGCTGACGCAGGGTTTCCCGACGAAGGGGTATCAGTGACGGCATCTGGGTTGCCTCTTGGGTAATGTCTTCGGTTTCCCGGCAGCTGGCAGATGGCAGCCTTCACGCTCCCGCAGTCGCCGTCGTCCAGGTACAGGAAGCGGGACTTGTCCATGAAGGCGCAGTCGCCGCTGTCGCTCGAGATCGGCTCCTGGGGGCGGGGCGAGCGGGCATAAGGAACAGCAGAATATTTCATTTGTATCCGCCATGTCTCACACTTCTATCATGCCACCATGAATACTATCTTACCTGCTGATAGTCATTGCTACTGTAACGGTACAGCGCCCACAGAGGCGTGCCCATTCTCACGGGCGTCCCATTCAGCCACGCCCACTCTCCCTCCGTCTCGGTGTCGTTGGCGCCCACCCAGTAGTCATGTCCAGCCAGACCTGTTGGAAGTGTTTGATTATCTTCCTCTTCCTTTTATGTTCCTTTCGCATTTTAGGCAAAAAGCAGCTTTCTCCCC